CTTTCTCTTCCTCCTCCTTGCATCCTTCTGTTCCTCCCTCATCCCTCGCTCCATTTCCCCATTCTATCATGTCAGCGTCTCTCGCACACTTTCTCTCAAACTTCTTTTCTCTTTGTTGTTGATACGTTAGCTGAGGTTTGTTCGATTAAATTTTGTAAACTGGTTTGAAGACTATCCTCCTCTTCACCCGCCGCCCTCTCTCACTACAGCGCACACCCTGCTTTGATCTCGCCCTCGATCATCCGCATTGTTTATGAGGATGGAGACATGATGGTATGCCACGGTGGGTAATCAGATGCTCCTGCACGCCCACACACGCAGTCACACACCTCCCTGTTACGCCCTCATCAGCTCTTTCAAACATCAGAAACTCAGCGAGGAGCTGTGTACATGTTATTAAAGGATGTTTGTGTGTGAACTTTATTTTACTCCTTAGTAAAATCCTGTACAAATAAACAAATATATAAAATGTTGTGATGAAGATGTATGTTTGTTCTATCTTGATGCAAGTTGAGACTGAAGTTTTGAAAATCAAGGCATACATCTTTTAAAAAAGTCCTTTGGTTATAACCGACCTGACTTTTATTGGCGGCCACCTTGGCGAACAGAGCCTGGGAGACCTTCGCCCTCTTCATCTCCTGCTGGATCTCGTCATAGATTCCTGACGTGATGTTCACCAGCGAGTCGAGCTTCAGCGGCAGCTCTGCGCTGGACACGCTGCCCTTTGACTACACAGAGTTAGAAACAGTGGTTATAAATCCTAGTTACAAAAAACTAAAGTGGATAATATTCTATTCATTCCACATTGTTGTGTCAAAGCGGTGTGTGTACCTGTGTGAGTCTGTGTGGGTTGGTATTGGAGATGTGGTTGGTGGAGAGGTTGTGGTTGGTGTTGGTGCTCCTCTCTCTCTCCTCCTGATAGATGCGGTCACGCTCGCCCTCGGGCAGGTTGAGGAAGTTCTGCATGGCCTTCAGGTTGACGAGCAGCGACTGAGACGCAGAGCGAGGATCCTCCTCCTTACGAAGGATCTCTGACAGCAAGCCCTGCAGCACGCACACACACACACACACACTCGGTTATGTTCATGAACTTCAGTGCGTCATCTCAGGTGACATCATTTGATTTCAGTTTACCTGTGTGCGGTTAAAAGCTACGCGAGCGAACACTGCTTGTGAAATGCTGGCCCTCTTCAGCTCATTCCTGACCTGCTGGTAAATGTCAGGGGACACGTCGGCCCCTGAGCAGTTGAGTCCTGGCTCAGTTACGGACCCGGGGCCCTTGCAGGCCCTGGGGATGGGCGGGTGGTTGAGAAACTGCTGGTTGACTCCCTGAGGGTGCTGGTGGGCCAGCAGGCGGCTGACGGCCAGCTGCTGGTTGATGAGGTGGGCCATGGCGAGCTGTTGACGGACGAGCTGAGGGGACAGGAGGCTGCTGTGGCCCAGCAGCGGTGGAGCTTGGGGACGCAGTTGAGGACCGGGGTGGTGTTGACTGGCGGGATGGGGCAGACAGTGAGGCTGGGTGGGGGGCTGAGCATCGCCAAGGACAGTCTTGATGGGAGGAGCTCCCGGGCCACTGATGGTGCTCAAATGGGCGGAGGACGGTAAGAGAGAGGGAGGACGCTGACTGATGATGCTCAGGTCCAAATCCCTCTCCACTGCGTCAAAACACAAACACACACAGTTAATGTTATTATTCCAACGATCTTTCATTAGTATAATAATTTATTTCCAAGCCCAAATCTGAATAAACCCCAACCTGCTGGAGCAAAGTTGACCTTAGCTGTTTTCAGACACGAATGCAAGAGTTTGTCTTTCACATGTGAATAACGGTACCTTTTATATCCGATTTGTCCTGTGCTGACCACATCTTCTCAAAGTATTCACCTGAGAGAGACACATGAGCAGTGAGTCTGTCAGTTACTCTTTCAGAAATATGAAACAGCCATTCTGTACAAATATAATCTCACTTAGTTACACTCTCATTTGTTAGAGAGTGACAGGTGGAGTCACAGGACATACAGTATATCAACCAGAGAAAATTGCAGGTAAGCATTGCGGGTGCAGGTTTGCAAAAACAGACCCAAGCAAGACTCGCGACCACCTGGGGGGTCCCAGCCCCTAGTTTGGGAACCACTTGCTTTAGAGCATCACATTAATCTGTTGTAGACGTCCGAGGTCCGAAGGATCATCTCAGAACCACAGCATCTATTTTCACGTACTGCCTCTGAGTTCTGCAGATACGTAAGTGAAGTAAGTGAAGAATGTTTCCTCTTCGTCGCTGCACAGAACTCAGTCGTCTCTGTTCTGGATTTTAACGGCCTCCTCGCTCTTCCCCACATAAATCTGCTTCTTATTAAGCTTCTACTGGGTTTGGTTGAGAGTCACATTTTAGGTTATTAAGGGAATAAAAGTTGGAGTGAGGTTTGGCAGGGCTTCAGATTTTTACCTTCCCTGTGTGTGTGTGTGTGTGTGTGTGTGTGTGTGTGTGTGTGTTGGGGGTGGCTGCTGCTGTTTTCCATTAGGAGTTGAGAGCATTTAGTTTTGTCATGTGTATTAAGGGTGACATTAATGTGAACCATGTGACAGTTCCTTCCTACTGAGAGCTGTCACTGACAGACATCTCATGCTGCAGATTAGACACATGCAGGCTGACACGTGCTCAAAACGTACAGGGGGTGGACAGAAGAATGGAAAAACTTTGTTTGCATTTGAAGCGACGAAATCACGAAAACAAAAGGCAGCGAGGCAGGTGACCCATAATAACCTGAGTTGTGATTGGCACTCAGTGACGGATTTAGAAGAGCTGTGACAGTCTCCACTTTTTCTGAGTTGTTGAAGCAACATGAGGCAAATCCAGTATAAGGAGAAGGACACAAACCTACACACTAGAAAAGTGTGTCTATACGTGCACACAAAGAATCATATTATTATGAGTCGTGATCGTATGTACAATAACCTAAGAGACAATATAATATAGAATTATGCTGTTGGCTGTATCCAGGTATTTAATCTGCTGTTCTTTTTATTTATTAAAAGCAACAGATCATCGTTGCTTGAGGTGTATTCCATCTGTCTTTTCCTGAGATTCAGGTTGTGTTGAAATTGCCTCGTTCGGCATTTCGTGCCTTTTATTCACGTCGCTGCTGTTGTGTCAAGGCCTTTTTCATAAGAGTTACCTTTGATGCGTTTGTACTTCTTATACCAGCGTCCGAACTCCTGGCATTTTGAGGTGGAGACGTTGGCGTAGTAGGAACTGTTCACTATCGCTGAGATCATACTCTGAAGGAGAGAGACAGACAGGAGAGAGTGGGGAATAAGAAGAAGCTTAAGAGGATCTGGAAAATAAAACTCTGGACTGAGATGTGGAGCAGTGCTGGAAGTGGCTGAGATTTTGTTGCTGATTCATCGCAACTCTTCTGCCCCTTTCCCAACATGCACTGTGGTCACTTCTTCAGAGCAGGAGATGTTCAAACTAAGCGAGTAGTGAACGCTCCACATGGGAAACGCTGAGGATTCAAACTCACATGAGTCAGACTGCAAACACACACCACCCACACGCTTCCCCTAATCACTAATTACATCATGACTAAATCCTGAGTATAAATCACACGTCGAAATGACACACTCTCTGGTCTAATGACTGCAGGGTGTGTGTCAGGAGGATAATTGAGGTGTGTGTGTATTTGCGTCCTTTCCCATGGGACGGTATCAATATTTGTGTGTGTGTGTGTG